CTTACATCCTGCTGTTGCAATCTCTGCGTCCGATCAAAAGTCTGTTCAACAGGAGTACCTGCGCAAGCTAGCGGTTGGCCTTTTACCTCAGCTATTCCCAGAAAGCGTACTCAACAGTCGAATTGTCTCGGTCCTGATTCGCGAAATCATATCATGCGCTGTGCTTATTCCGATAGTTACTTCATTATCAGATCCAGACACATGGAACCAACTAATGGAGGCATATGGCCGTACAGCTTTGCAGGATCGGAAGACTGTACGCAAACTGCGCGCCGCTTTGGACCAGCATGCCTCACCAACACCTAAGTCCAAGCGCGGGCAACCATTCCCACGACTGTCCGCAACCGATTCAGAGCGAGCCTTTGAGCGTTTTGTAAGGGCAATTAGGAAATGTAATAACCTCTCCGATGCCCGTCGGTTCCGTGCCCTCGTTTCCAGTCAATTGAAGCAAGAGAGTGTGGTCGAGGGCCAGGACCAGGTCTATCTGAAACGTTTGGAAACAGGCAAACGTGTTCTTGATCAAAAAGTGGCAAATCTTGCGAGACCTGGCGAGAACTCCCATGTACCTCCAGCACTAGACCTTCGACCAGAGATCCCATCGAAAACGCATGAATCGTCACTGGTTGACGTGATGCACAGCGCATCTGGGCTTTCTTATTTCATGGAGTTTATGGACCGTCAAAAGCTGATGTCGCTTGTTCAATTCTGGGTTGTTGTAGATGGATTCCGCAACCCACTCGAAGATGACTTTGGAGATGAGGCAGCGCCCACTTCATTGGCATGGAAGCCAGCAGACAGGAACGACCTAGCTCTGATCAGTGAAACCTACCTCTCAAAACCAGAACTGAAGGTCTCTGAAGAGTCTCGCCGAGCAGTCAAGACATTCCTCAGTGCAGGAAAGCGTGCCACCCCGGAACAATACCGAAAAGCGCGAATGGTGGTTTTGACAACCCAGTCTGCCATTCTAGAGCATCTCCAGGATACTTATTATCCGAAATTCAAGGAGTCTGATTTATATTGGAAGTATCTTGCGTCCGATGAAGCATCTGCCGCCCAGGTGCCAGTTCGTCAATCCTCTCCCATAGCAGTCGCTTTTGAAACCCCCGAGAGGCGGCCTCTTCCCCCTTTGCTGTCACGAACCACCTCCCAGCCGGGAATGAGAACGTCGAAAGACCTTCGACGAGCCGCTGTCTCATCTAGTGATGTGCGAAGCATGGGAAAATTGTTTGATGATGACGATTCACCACGACGATCCATAGATTCAGAACGATCTGGTCATCTGTTTGATGACGACTACGACACCGACAATCTCGCCACGTCCACCTATAGTTTGGGCAAGGATTCCCAGAATGGCGAGAATGATGCTGGCCAGAGCCAAAGCCAAGTCCTAGAGACGATGGAGGCAGCGCTTAATGATATCATTACCAATGAGCCGAAAAATGGAAGAATTGAAGACCTCAAAGGAGATGCTGCCGGTCTGTTCGGGCCGGAGCGTCCTGTTCTTTCGTCGCGCAGCTCGTCTGAAATTCCCCAGGTTGACAACCGGAATGAAAGAACTAAGAAAAGCATCGCATCGCTTGGTCTGGTTGATCATGCATCCCGACTTGGTGTATTTCATGACGATTTATTTCCGGATCAACAGAAATTCATTGAAGATGAATACGAAGAACCAGACGGCGTGGATGAAAAAGACTCAGCAGATGAAGTGCACGAAGCTGCACCGGGTGACTTAGGTCTAACGGAAGCGATTGAGGCGCTCTCGGTGGATATTGACAAGCTTGCAGCTCAGGATTCCGTGGTCCAAGCATTGACACGCAAAGCAGAACTGACAAACAACACCGCGGAGCTGAGAATCCTGCGCAAGTCCAAGGCCAGCATCCAGCGCGAAATGCACCGCAAGGAAATGCAGCGACAGCAGTACATTCTCCAGGAAAGCGATAACAGCTTGTTTGGGCGATCGACCGTTAGCCTCAAGTCTACTGTCGTGGGTAAAGAGGAGGACGATGGCCGTGAATTCGCAATGTGTAAGAGAACTTTCTAATGTACCGTGTGTGTGCCCAGGCTAACTAGGTATTTTAGACGTCGTGGAGGTTCGAAGAAATGCCGGCGAACAAATGCCCGCTGCATCGTGGGTCGTTGCACGACGATACAGCGAGTTCCATGATCTACATCAGAAGCTACGCCAACGCTACCCCTCCGTCCGACACTTGGAATTCCCCCGCCGACGTGTCGTCATGAAGCTACAGAAAGAGTTCCTTCATAAACGACGACTCGCTCTCGAAGCCTATCTTCAAAACCTCCTCCTCCTACCAGAGGTCTGTCGCAGTCGCGATCTACGTGCATTCCTCTCCCAACGTGCCATCCTTCCCCGTAAGGAGAACACCCGCGATAATGAAGGTGAAACTAAAGACCTTGTCACACGCATCTATAACTCCGTCGCAGACGGCATGGATGATTTCCTCGGCAACTTTGGCGTTCTAGACCAACTATCTACCGCAGGCCAGAACCTCATCTCAGCCGCCACCCAACAAGCTAGCGACACGACAGTCCCAGACTCCAGCCTCGCAACCGAAGATGCCGTCACAGCCGCCGAAGCTGAAGCGGAACTAAACGCCTTCGAAGACCGCGAGCTCGAGCCATTCATCAAGCCCATCTGCGATCTCTTCCTCGAAGCCTTTGAGCTGAACCGCGGTAACAACTGGCTGCGCGGCCGTGCCGTTGTCGTCGTCCTGCACCAGCTTCTTGGTGGAACCATAGAACGCAAGGTCCGCGACGGAGCGCGCGGCTTGGTACAAGATGACTCTCTTGTCAAGTACCTTGCTCTCGCTCGTGATACCCTCTGGCCCGGCGGCGTACTCCGCAAAGCCCCTCCTCGTTCGGCTGTAGATCGTCTCAATAGTCGTGCCGAGGCTACTGTGGTCTTGGCTACCCTCATCCCGGATCTAGCAGGTAACGTCGTCGGCAGAGCTAATGCGCAGGCTGCTGCCCGTCGCATCTTTGCTACGCTGAATAACCAGCATCTCAATACCCATCTTGTCTTTACGATTCTTGACGAGATTGTCTTGGTTCTCTTTGGGAGTTCGGGTCGTTCTAGATAAGAAGCGAATGTTCTTATTTTTCCTCGTTACAACTGTATATACTCGATTACATCCATCTCTACATAATTCCAAATATGTTCATCTAACACATCCAAATTCCAAATAACCCCGCTAAGATTAAAAAAAAGGGGACCATCACGTGTACGTGTGATGAGGCTCAAATGTGCCAAATTTGGCACCAAAGAGCCCCTAAAACCTCCCAGGTCGAGTTTCAACAGCTCGTCTTCTTCTTCTCCTTAATCCCAATGGCCCCTCCCCCAACCTCAGCTCAATCCTACGCTCTATCCGTCCCCGAGATCTTCGAACTAATCCTCCTCAGCCTGGACACCCGTACCCTCCTGACAAAAGCAACCCGAATCTGCCACACCTGGTCCCATTTCATCAACTCCTCCCTACCGATCCAATGGGCCTTATTCTTTCGACCACTCGACAATGCATTGAATAAACCGAAGATCCAAAACCCACTGCTCGCAGAAACCTTCCCGTCAATCTTCCAGCAGTCTGGGTCTAGCAGCAATGGAAGAAATCCTAAGAAAAAGAACGATACCGATACCAACACTACAAATGGAAAAACCACTCCCAAGCTCGCATTCACCACATTCGACATGGTCAAGAACCCGCACAAATGGGACGCATACATCAGGCCAGAAGCTAGCTGGCGCCGTATGCTGGTCCAGCAGCCACCCGTGCATACGCTGTCGCTGCTAAGGAGTAATGTCGGACATGGCGGACAATATTTGTATATTTATGAGGCGTTGGTAAGTATCCAGCTCTCTATTTATTTACATAATATATACATATAGTTAACATCTATATCTACATAACGATGTCTCTATATGTTTACTTTCACCCACATATCATATTTCATTTTCCCTCCTGCAAAGAAACTCTAGCTGACATTCGTAATCTCCCCCCCAAGGACGACCAAAAAGTATCAGCCGGTGGCCTGCGGATGGATATTGTCTTTGAATCCCTCATATTCGGTGACAGGTGGGATCAGAATGAATACTCCGCGACAGAGATGGTCTGGGGACAGGAATTCCTCCCGAAACGGATTTGTGAGGATCTGGAGCTCTTTGGTGTCCGGGATCTGGATTTGGTGTTTTATACTCGTCTGGGAGAGGCGTCCCGGGGTCGAAATTATTATTATTCGAGTCTGGAATCGAGTCTGGAACTTGACGTTGTGAAGAAAGTGAAGGCGGCGTATACTGAACTGGGGATGAAGCCGAAGTACTCGGATGAGGTTTTTTTGAGAGGGCGGAAGTCCTGGGGGTCACTTTGGGATTAGGTTAGACTTGGGTGGGATCTGTGTAGGGGATTGATGTATTTTCTGTCTTCTCATAGATCGATAGTATGCCCATGTACAATGTGAAGTTGTGGAAGTCAGCCCGGTATAGCGTGGCTTGGCATGTCTATTTGGACTTTAATTGTCTCCTCGGCTTGGTTTTCTGCATAGTATATCCCATACAACATCTACATGCGAAAAAGGACACCCGGGAATTAATTCATTCGATCTCCACTAGGCTTAAGGAGTGAACGGTACATACCGGTCCACCCAGGGTAGATACATAAGAGCCGGACCAGACAGAAAAGACAGAAATAAGATAGGCAAGATAAAATCAAAATACGAAATCTCCCTCGCGCCCTCCTAATTCCTGTTCTACATTGGAAATGCAGCGAACACAGAGCAGCCGAATGGGACTATGAAAAAGCAGAAGATAAAAAAAGTCAAATCGCGTATTGCAGATTGAGGGGAGTCAATAGTCCCGGTAAGAACATCCATTATCACGACTGGTAAGTGAAGGAAGAAAGGAGAGAAGAAATTAAAGAAGGCATCCGGGGACACATGTCTGTGTTCATGGTCATGTCATGAAACACCCGGGTTGATGGGCTAATGCCAATCTATGCCTCGTCCTTGGACTTCTTCTTGGACTTTTTGCTTGGGTGTGGTGCACCTTCCTTCTTCTGGTGCACGATCAACCGGGTCCAGCAATCTTCCTTGTCCCACTCGAAGCCAGCGAGGTAGGGTTTGTCAAGTTCGTCATCCGCCTAGCGGGGTCACGTCAGCCATCATGGATTCTCTGTGTTCTATATTTGTAGAACCACTGACCTTCTTCTTGAATTGCTTATGGATAGCATCTAATGCGTCCTTGATTGTGACGCCCTTGGAGTTCCGAGCGGTGACCTCTAGGCCAAGGGGGAAGTGTAGGTCAATCTTCCTGACGGGGGGAGTGACGAGGAGCATTTTGAGGATATCTTTATCCTCAATGGTTGATGGGGAGGTGTTGAGCTTCCTGGAAAGAAGTCAGTGAGACTGATCTATATGGGAGGAACGGAACTGAGATGAGATACTGACCACCCAGTCTTTTGTGTCTCGATTGGTAGGGTAATTTCCAGCTTTTCCTTTTCTAAAGTGATGTTAGCATAGCTTCCCCGATTGAGATGGATGAGTACTGACCAAGGTCCTTGATATTCCAGATACCTTCTACCACTGAGGAGTGTCGCTTGTGGGTCTTCTTGACCTCCTTCTCAGTGGTCTCGGGTTTCTCATCAGATATGGACAAGCCAGCGATGGCAGAATCGATTTTGGTTAAAGGAACAGACATGGTTGCAGAGTTGTGATCAAGTTGAAGATGGGAAGAAGTGAAGATGGGAGGAATATAGATGAATCAGGAGATGAAAGATCAGGAGATGGAAGGAAAGAAGAGGGGGAAAGGCAAACCGTTGGAAGGCAGGTGACCAAGGTTATGTGAGAGGGGTCATGGATGTCATGTTACTTTTTTGTTCCTTTTGCTTGACTTGTGGTGTTTGTCTCTTATTAACCAGGGTACCTCTCTAGTTATATCTTAGTTTCACTATTATTCTATTATTCTACTTGGAATCCTATTAACTATTACATATACTATCAAACTATTACTATATTATCATCATCTTCACATCAATATACATATAATTATAGTAATAACTACCGGCCTCCCCCGGATCACTTCAACTGACATCAACATTGTTAATCGTAGCCAATCTTAGCGCTGCACCCCGCATTTGAGCTCCACTTTATTTACGGCAGATCACTCTTATATTAGCTGTTATATTAGTTGTATTACTTATATTAGTACTTGTACTTATATACATAGTATCATACAAGTACTTAACGTATGACTGTCACCTGATTAGATACTTAATTAATCATACCACTCTACTTCTTGAATTCTCCCGAGGTCTCTTTAATATCCCTACTTACATAGCTAGGAAACTGACCACGTGAGGCCATTATTCACTACCTATCTACTCCGTATCTCGTTTTATAATACTCCGTATGGTGGCGCCCATTATCTGGCAAACTCAATGCCTTCAATTCCTAACCAGGGTTCTTGCTCTTAATTAAGATTTCTTCCTTTATGGCGTAATTAACCACCATTATCTCATCACACTGATATGGACTCGAGCGGTATATTATATAGTGACCTCTAGATTTTCATAGCGGATTTAATTACTTGATTTGATATAATATATACTATATCATCCAACCTCAGTCATCTCTTAGACTAGAAATATATAAAAAATAATTCAGCTAGCTAACAACTTTGAACTCATATTGATAACTACTTAACTAGAAAATCCCAGCCTAAAAAAAAGGAGGATATGAAGATGTTAGGCTAACGGCCAACTTAGCACTCGGTATAAAATTGTTGCAGACATTCGTATAGACTGGCATATGATGATGCCAACAAAGCGAAGGTCAAATTGAGTCTTAGTTCTTACTCAAATCTCTCTCTGAATGCTTCAAACTGACCATTGATTAAGGCATCTATCAAAATTATTCCCAAACGGATAACTGCAGTCCGACAATGCTGCCTTGATAGTCGTGACTCATGGCATCGATATAGAGCTAGGCAGGACTATACTGCTGTCAATAAACTTGACATATATATAAAGGCCAGGCATGTCCAAGTGATTTAAAATTAAAATACAAAGGTTGAATCATACTCAAACAAGAACACTCGACTGAAGTATAAAATCCACAGACACAAAGGCGGTGAGATATCTTTTCTGCCGGCATCGCGCATCGCTTTCTGTCGAGCTACAATTATCATCGACTTCTCTGTCTCTTCGTTTCTCCACTGACCTCGACTTTCTTTCTCCTCTGCATGACTCCTCAGCTGTGAATTCAGCTTTGCCTTTGTTTTCTGTTCACATCCTTTCATCCCTCCCTCGATACCCTTTACCACATCACACCTCTCGCGCCCTTCCAAATGTCACTTTTCGGCGCCGGCGCGTCGTCGGCCTCGGCGGGCCAGACAAATACCACCGGCGACATTTCCAAGGACGTTGCCCTCAACACTCCCCCCGAGGATGGCATCTCGGATCTCCGCTTCTCCCCAACTAGCGAACACCTAGCCGTCGCCTCGTGGGATAAGAAAGTCCGCATCTACGAAATCAACGACCAGGGACAAAGTGAAGGAAAGGCTCTCTTCGAACATGAAGCTCCAGTTCTGAACTGCTGTTGGTCTCCAGTAAGCTCACACCCCTTCCCACTCACCCCACCTATTCACCCCTCAACAATTCAAGTCCGATGTACAGAAACTAACATCAGCTTTTTTTTCTTCTCTCTTATAGGATGGAACCAAGGTCGTCGGTGCTGGTGCCGACAAGGCAGCCCGCATGCTTGATCTCGGCTCAGGCGCAACAACCCAAGTTGCCGCCCACGATGCCCCCATTCGAAGCTGCCATATGATCCCCAATCCCTCCGTGGGCGGATCCCCACTCCTGATCACCGGCTCGTGGGACAAGACAGTCAAATACTGGGATCTGCGCCAGTCGACCGCAATCGCCTCCGTCGAGTGCCAGGAGCGTGTCTACACCATGGATGTCAAGAACAAATTGCTCGTCATCGGTACCGCAGACCGCTACATCAATATCATCAACCTCGACCAGCCAACAAAGTTCTACAAGACCATGCAATCACCCCTCAAGTGGCAGACGCGGGTAGTCAGCTGCTTCTCAGATGCCTCTGGCTTCGCTGTCGGCTCCGTTGAGGGCCGTTGTGCTATTCAGTACGTCGAGGAGAAGGATTCCGCCTCGAACTTCTCCTTCAAGTGCCATCGTGAAACCCCGCCTGCAAACCGCGATGTCTGCAATATCTACTCCGTTAACGCTATCTCTTTCCACCCCATTCACGGTACCTTCAGCACTGCAGGTGCCGACGGGACTTTCCACTTCTGGGATAAGGATGCGAAGCACCGTCTCAAGGGTTACCCCGCTGTCGGAGGCCCTATCACTACCACCGCTTTCAACCGTACTGGAAATATCTTCGCCTACTCTGTCAGCTACGACTGGAGCAAGGGTTACTCCGCCAATACCCAGCAGACTACCAACAAGGTCATGCTGCACCCTATCGGACCTGATGAGACAAAGCCCAGACCGAGCACGCGCAAGCGTTGATTTGGACCGGAGCTTTTTTCTTTTTTTGCGTGGGATGGAGGGATTTTTCCGTCGATTGCTTTCGTGTCCCATCGCTACAACGAGCATGTAATGAAATTTTTACCATATCGGCGTGTTTTGATTAAGTGCAAATGGGATTTTTTTTTGCTAGCCTGGCTATTTCTTTCATTCGAAGGGCTTACTAGGATCTTGGAGATGTAGTTCCAGAATTGTGACAGTTCACTATAACTATAGATCATAGAGCTAAGTAGGGACAAGTAAATGGGTCATCCAAGATCAAGATATCAAAAACCAAACACCTTCATTGCATCCATGCGTATGATACCTATAAAAAGGAAGAATTCCCCAAGCCAGTTGAATATGCCCAGAAAATGACCCATTCACAACATCTCTCATAGAGAATCATAAAAAGAAAAGCCCCCACAACGCGCCTTGCATGTATTTTCTCATCTAGACTACCCTTTTGAAGACCTGACAATCTACGAAGTGGGCAGAGTAACCTGCGCCACTCCATCAGCAATCTTCTCAACAGCCTCGTCGTTCTTGCCCTCAGTAGTAACGGAGACCTTCTCCGCACCACCCTTAGCGGAACTCTCAACACCACCTTCGGGAGCACCAGCACGACCCTTCTCCTTCTTCTCCTTCTTCTTAGCCTTGGCGGCAGCCTTCTTCGCAGCCTGCTTGGCAGCATCCTCCTCCTTCTTCTTCCGGTCAGCCTGTGACCCACCGAACATCTCACGCCACTCATCCGCCTTCTTGGGATCAATACGCGTGAACAGGTAAGCAGCCTTGCCGATCTTGTGACCCGCCTTCAGCGAAACAGGCTTCCAGCCAGACTGGAGCTCTTCAACACTGGGGATGTACTGGAAGGGTGCGTTCAGCTGCTCCAGAATGGACTTCGAGGTTGCAGGCATGTACGGCGAGAACACGCTGGACAGCAGGTGGATCAGGTTGAGCACTGTGCCGACAACGGCGGCGGCGCGCTCGGGCTCGTTAGCAATCAACGCGTTGTCGAGTCGGTTGGCTTGAATCAATCCGTTACCCGCCTCGGCGATGCGCATGGCTGTCTGCACACCGGCGCGCAGGTGAGCACCTTCCAGATCTTCGTGGTACTGGCGCACGTGTTCGGTGACCTCCTCGAGGAATGGGTTGAAGCTCTCTGGAACGGTGAATTCCGGAATGACGGAGCCGTAAGAGGCGGTGACGAGCTTGATAACGCGGTTGACGAGGTTTCCTAGCTTGGCGAGGAGCTCGCCGTTGTTGCTGTCGACGAAGGGACCCCACTCGAACTGAGTGTCGCCGGTCTCTGGGCGGTTCTTCAGCAGGAAGTAACGCCATACGTCGGCGGAGACGCCGGTTTCACGGGCGTTCGTGCCGAACACACCCACGCCGCGCGACTTGCTGAACTTGCCACCTTCGTAGTTGAGGTACTCGGCCGTGCTCAGGTGGTGAAGCATGGTCCACTTATCTCTTGTACCGATCTGTGTACCGGGGAAGATCACACTGTGGAAGGGCACATTGTCCTTGCCCAGGAACTGCCACAACTGCACATCCTCCGGGTTGCGCCACCACTTCTCCCACTCGTCTGTGTAGTTGGCTGTGATCGATGGGTAGCCGATGCAAGCCTCGAACCACACGTAGAGAACCTTGTTCTCGTATCCCTCCAGCGGGACGGGAACACCCCACTTCAAGTCTCGGGTGATACCACGGTCCTTCAAGCCCTCCTTCAACCAGGACTCGGTGATAATGCGCGAATTTCTAGGCCAGTTACCCTTCTCAATAGCGGGGTGAACCCATTTCTCGATCTCCGGTTGGAGCTTGTCGAGCAGGATGTGGATGTGTTTCGTCTCGCGGCGGACGGGGGCAGCGCCATCGAGCTTGCAGCGCGGGTTGATGAGATCAAAGGGATCGAGGAGATGACCGCACTTATCGCACTGGTCTCCACGGGCATCATCGTAGTGGCAGCGGGGGCATTCGCCCTCCACGAAGCGATCAGCCAAGAAGGAGCCGTGCTGCTCGCAGAAGGGCTGTTCGGCGGTGCGCTCGCCGAGGAATCCGTTCTCGTGTAGGCGCTTGAAGATCGACTGCGAGATCTCGGTGTGCTTCTGTGTGGGTGTGCGACCGAAGTGGTCGAAGCCGATGTTGAACCATTCGTACACATCTT